TGGGACAACTCATTTAAATGCCTTAGACTCCAAGCAGCAGCCTAGAGGTGGGGAATGCAATAATGAACCCAAGTGCTCAGGTCACTTCCATTACAGAAGCATTTTAACCTCTTTGGAGAAGCTGCAGCAACTGGTGAACTTCAAAGCTGAGCCTACAGACATATGCTCCGTGGCTAGAGAGGGCTGGCTGCTATTTCTGAATGTGCTTTCCTGGGAAAAGCCAGCCTTTCACAAACAAGTTCCACTAGAGAAATCATTGTATATTCATTCCTTGCTCCCTCAAAGGATACAACTTGCAGGATCCTCCCCAAGAGCAGCTCCAGCAAAGCACAGATGGATGACTCTGGATTTACCCTTCCCCAGGTTGCCTGAGGCAGTCAGGCACTATTAAACACTAGTTATCATTATCCTAATCTAATAGGTCACAAAACATTATGGCATCCTGAATTTTGTGCCCATTCATGCTGTTGTTTGTTAAAAAAATTCATCTCAAAGGCTTCCAACCCCTGCCTTGGTCAGAATTACTTTTTTACCTTCTCACCCTCTGCTCTGAGACCTCAAGGGCAAGTCAGTGTGAGTGCAGTCTGAGCTGCAATTCACTGGGTTACATCAAATTTGAAATCATCCAGCAGAAAATGGACCTCATTGCTCCTGATCCCTCCAGGAGAGGCAGCACTCTGCTGCCCAGTCCAGCACTACCAGGACCACTGCAAAGAGAGAATGTTGTGGAGATGTGTACCCACAGCTTGAGTGCACCTACGGTACAGCCCCATCCATCAAAATCCTTCTTTAAAATCAGCCAAGCCTGATTTCAATGGATAAATCCAAACCCAGACTCACCTGGGTCCACAGTCTCCTGAAACCTCATCAGACCAGATTTTCATTTCTCATCTGGTACCTCTCTGCCTAGCATAGATACTCTGTCCTAAAAAAAAAAAATAGGCCCAAAATATGAGGTGGATTTTTAGGGCCCTATTTTGGGCCTTTGCCACTTGAAGAATCACTTCAAATTCTCCTCTGGCCTCCAATACTTCTTTCCATGCCAGTTAGGCCAAAAGGAGACATTTTTTGCAGATTAAATAAACAGAAAAAGGGATGAAAAGAAGAGGTCACAGTCCAGATTTCAGCACTGAACATGTCATACATGGCCTTTACTGTACAAAAAGCCCAGATAAACCTAAAAATCTGATTATGTAGATTATTCTCTCACGTCACACTTTGATACTCTTATGCATTTCAAGGCTTCTAAGGTGGCTGTCAGAGAGAGGCCCTCAACAGAGAGCTACCAAGGAAGGGAAAAAAAGTGGATTTATCCTATCATTCAGCAAGCTACCACAGCCCTAGCAGGAAGTTGGGGGAGCCTGGCATTCTGCCACAAGAGAAAGCCCAAGGAAAGCTGTTCTCTTTTAAGCCAGCCATATGGAAATGAAGCCTTGAGCTGCAGCATGGTGAGAGCTGCTCTTACAGCAGCGCTGCTCTACTCACAGAGTAGATCTGCTACACACAGGCAAGAAGGGAGGGGAGTGTGTGGGCTCATTGAGCCTACAGAGAAATCAGGATAAACAGCAAGTTCCTCTGAAAACAGAGCTGGTGACCCAAAAGGGGAAAATGTAAACCTGCAGATAAACCATGCAACAGCATCAGCTCATTCGGGGCATGCAGAGCTCACCAAGATCAGTGGCAGGACACACCTGAAGGATGGGGTCATCCAGAGGGACCTGGACAAGCTTGGGCAGTGGGTCCACGGGAATCTCATGGGGTTTAACAAGACCAAGGGCTGGTGCTGCACTTGGGTGCAGGCAACCCCCAGAATTAATCCAGGCTGGGGTAGAGCAGCCCTGGGAGAAGGACCTGGGGTCCTGGTGGGTAAGAGCTGGACCTGTCCCAGCTCTGAACCCCCTGCATGGGCAGCAGGGGAGGGGGAATTCTGCCCTGCTCAGGTGAGACCCCACCTGCAGAGCTGCCTGCAGCCCAGGCTCCATCAGCAGATGTGGAATTGCTGGAGTGAGCCCAGAGTAGGCCACAGAGACAATCAGAGGTCTGGAGCACCTCTGCTACAGGGAAAGGCTGGGAGAATTGGGATAGTTCAGCCTGGAAAAGGCTTTGGGTAACCTAATTGTGGCCTTCCAGTACCCAAAGGGAGCCTACAAGAAAGATCTAGCATGTTAGCAGTTCTTGGCTGGCAGAATGAAGTTCAGAGTCACATTAAATTCTGAAAATCTTTGGAAGAAAGTTTTGTGTCTTTTCTAGTGAGTCACTGGTCTGTTACCACTGCCAAAGGAAAGAAAGGGTAAGCAAAGCACTGCTGTTACCCAGGACTACCTAAAGAGTTGTGGGTTTGGTAACCAAGGGGAGACACAGCTGCACTACTGCACAGCAGAAAACCAGCCCTGTCCCAGTGGCCACCCTGTTTGCACAACCACTCAACCCCAACCCCACTGCCAGCCTCATAAATCTCAGATAAAAGGGATGTTTCTGTGGTAAGATGCTGGCTGAGGCACAGGGCCCCACACTGAGGGTCTACTTCAGGCACCGTGAAAAAGCTGAGCCAGACACTTCTGTGCTCCACCTTCTCCTGGTTCAAAGGGAGCAAAAACTGCTCCCTCACTGAAAGGGGAGAGCCATTAGCAACTGCAAGGACTAACTGCACCCACAGTGGTCGGAGAAAACGGGACTGCAGAGTAGGTATTGCACTGCCCTAAAAGATACAAACAAAGTTTTACCCCAATTTTCTTTCCTTTTCTACATACTTTCAACTCCCTCCAAGCCTTCAAAGTTGCAGTCAAGTCATTTTTAGGAGATCAAAGTGACCTAAGCCTGATATTTTTACTCAGTGCATTTTAAAACTGATTTATTTACCAAAAGCTTCCTAAAATACATGGAGTTCAACTTGAACATGTTAGACTTGGCTAAAAGCCACCCTATTCTCTACTGAAGGCAGGAATGCTATAGAAAGTAAATATCATCCTATTGTCTTCAGGTTTCTGTTAATCTCTTAGGAAAAACAAGTTAAGTAAAAAAAAAATGTATGTGACAGTCACTTTCATACCATGAAATACAGTAACACTTGAGCTGCACTAGGGATTAAAACAAGTACTGCCAGGGAGAGCTTAGAGCACAGTTACACAACCCAAATAAGAATATAATGAAATAAGAGTATCATGCCTACAGGATTTTCACAACCCTGTTTAGTATTCTTTGCCTCCTGCATCACACCAAAGACATTTCCAAGTGCCCTTCAGCTATCACAACCCCTTGCTTATTCAAGGTTTGCATTTTAAGCAGAATTCGGCACCGATTTCCCTCGCTTCCTCCTTGTACCCCTTACCTTTTCCCTTTGATTGTTACTCCAGAAAGAAACAGGAGTATAATCCCTGCCTTTTCACTGAGTGTGCTCCCTCTTTAAACTCCTTGGTCCTCCCCTCTATTCAGCCCTTGCTCCGCGGAGCTCACCCGCACAGAGACTGAACCATCAGTGCCTTTGCTGCTGCTTTCTCATCTTCCCACGCTGCGGGCTGCTATTGCATTTCCCCGGCTGACTCCACCTCTCCTCTTCCCACTCTCTTTCCTCTTTAGATTCACTTCAAGGCCAACTTCCCTTCCTTGCTGCTGGGCTCACACAGCTGGGAGTGTAGTAAAGCAGGGGGAGGGGAGCGGAGCAGGGAGCTTTTATTCAGCAACGCTTCCTTAACCAAGCAGCTGCTTTGAAGCCCCAAGGTCCAATTTCAACTGCTGAAGTTGCCAGTAATAAAAAAAACAGCTAAATATAACAGTGCTTTCAAAAGGCAGGTTTGAGGTGGGGGACTCCACTGTTAAAGCTCTCCAGCTGAAACACAGTCAGAATCTGGAAATACGCAACTTAGATGGAGTAGCCGGTAAACACTTGCTGGAATGAATGTTTGGAATTACAGAATGGGTTGGGTTGGCAGGGACCTTAGAGCTCATCTCATTCCGTGGGCAGGGACACCTTCCACTGCCCCAGGTTGCTCCAAGCCCTGTCAAAGCTGGAAAAATTCCAGGGATCCAGGGGCAGCCACAGCTTCTCTGGGCAACCTATGCCAGGGCCTCACCACCCTCACAGGGGAGAATTCTGTTGCTTCTGTGACAGCAGCTAAATAGAAATTAAGGTCTCAAGGAAGGCAAATTTACATCAATGCTGCAGATTCCACAGGTTAAACTGATGGCAAAGGAAGCAGGAACCTTGGCAAACAAAGCTGCCATTCTCTGCATAAAAAAAAGAAATGTTCCATTGATCTTGGGAGTCTGTTACTTACCCAGAGCAAAGCCTGAAAGGTGATGGTAAGAAAGCTGCTGAGGGATAGGTTGAGTGGCACAGAAAATCACACCAGTGGTGCTGTCACTGCAAAGACTGCTCTGCAAAGGAAGTTTGACTGCTATATCTCTAGGCATCTACAAAATCACACCTCCAGGTCACTAGAGCCAAAGTAACACACTGAGAAAAAAAAAAACAAAACAGGAATAACAAGTCTAAAAATAGCTAAAATATTTGAGTTTACACTTTTGGACAATAGTATTTTCCACCCATTCATTTAGCCAGAACAAATTCTCACTCTTTCCAGAGTCTGAATTTTCAATTTGTTGTGGCCATTTATTCCTGTAGCACTCCTCTTCCCCTGCTGCCCATTCCATAGTTATTTCCTCATAAAACAAATGCATTTTACCCCCCTACAGCCCATCACTGCAATGCACACCACTCAGAAGATTACTACAGTTGTAAATGAAAGGCACAATTTCATTCCTTTTCTGCAGAGATTGAAGGATGGGGAGGGAGGTGATCCTGCCTCCATACCCAACACTAGGGAAGCTACACCTGGAGGAGTGCTGTTAAATGTGGGGTCTCCTTGTACAAGATAATGGATTTATAGAAGAAAATTCAACAAAGGACTAAAAGAGGATGAAGGGACTGAAGCATCTTTCACATGAGGACAGTTTGAGAGAGCAGGGACTGCTCAGCCTGGAGAAAAGCTCAGATCATATCAATATGCCCAAGTACCTGATGGTACTTGGAATGAGGCAAAAACACATGTGAAATTCCATCTGAGCACAAGAAAACCCTTTCTGACCATGAGACTGGTCACACACTGGAACAGGCCCTCCAGAGAGGTTGTGCAATCTCCAGCTGTGGGGATATTCAGATCCCAACTGGACAGGCTGCTCTCTGACGCTGCTGCAGCAGCAGTTTTGGGCTGGGTGATCCCTTCCAGCCTAAACAACATGAGTTTAAACTGAGGATACCTGAGAGATTAGACAAAACCCATATAGTGACACTGCCCCACCAGTTACAACCGTGTCTCTGAGGCAGGACCAGGGCTGGAATCGAGTTCATGCAGGAAACAGTCCTGAAGCCTCTTTCATTCCCTCACCAGGGAACAGCTGGCAAGCCTCCCCCAAACCCTTTCTGGGACTTATGGAAATGCCAATAACATAGAGTGTATCTTCTCCTCACTGGAGGGGAATGCTGATTATCTGGAGCTTTTGATGTGCATTTCTCAGAGCTCAAATACATCCCTCCCCAAAGAAATGTGTAAGGGAACCTGCCTTGAGCAGCATCTGGATCAGCTTTGGACACATGTGTGGGCAACAGAGATGATGCCACTCTGGGTCAATTCATAAAAAATGTGATTAAATTTCCAGAAAAGATGCTGGCCACTTACACACCCTTGTTTGAAGAATGGAGATTTTATGCATTTGTAGGACAAATCCTTTTTCACCCCTCTTTGTTTCCAGAAGCTTCTGTGGCTGGCTCAGCTCTCCAGCTAAGCAATGATGGATCTATGCCAGATGCCACAGCAAGTAAGCTCAGTACCTGACTTAACTGCAGATTCCTCAATGCAGGGGATCTGATACTGCCAAGGGGTCCAGTTTTATTTCAAGAGTCTTATCTTAGATGTCCTGAGTGGTAGCTTTAACCACAGCTGCATTCTCACACAAGTCACTGCACACCTTGAGTCAGGAGAGCTCACTGAGCTCCTTTTCTAAAGCTGAACAGAGACAGCACAAAAATAATCCCCTTTTACTCAGAGTTGAAATTAAGGCCTTTGTATGCAGTCACAAAATGCAGTCAACTGACTCACAGTTGAATGGAAAATAAAACCAAATTGCTTTCTAATCACACTTTAAACCCACTTTTCCCCTAGGAAAGGTTTAAGAACAAAAATTGGACTAATAATACCTCAGAAAACCTCAAGGTAAACAAAAGCTTATTTGTGAGGAACAGAACAAAAGTGGGGTTTGCTGCTGCCAGATGCCTCCTTTCCTAGTGTGTGACTCAGCCAAAGGCCTGACAACACTAAACTGCCAACAAAGACAGCTCCTCTTCACAACTCTTACATAAACACCATAAATCCTAATTATTAGTTGCACCCAGAAGGTAACACTGAGGTTTGTAAAGCGTTGGAACAGGCTGCCCAGGACAGGGATGGAGTCACCGTCAAAAGCCATGTGCATGAGGCACTTGAGGACGTGGTGAACACGGTGCTGGGTTGGTGGCTGGACTAGATGATCTGAAAGGTCTTTTCCAACCTTTGGAACTCAAGGATTCCTGGGCCATCAGGTAGCCCAGAAGAACCTGCAGAGAAGTGCACCTGCTTCTTATCTCTTCACAATCTTCAGTTCACCTGTCAAGAGCCCACAAGCACAGACACCTTTGGGCTCAAAGCCCTCGAAAATGTGATGGTATTAAGACACATCCTTTTCCAGGTAAAAGATGATGAATGGTTTTGGAGCAACCCCAGCCAGAGGCTTGGCTTTATACAAAGCTTCTGCAGGAAACCCTGGCAAGAGAGAAAATAAGGGGAATTATATTACAGCAAATCACAGAAACCCTGATTGGGTTGGGTTAAAAAGAACCTTAAAGCTCATCTCATTCCACCCCCTGCCATGGGCAGGGACACCTTCCACTAGACCAGTTTGCTCCAAGCCCTGTCCAATCTTGAACACTTGAAGGGATGGGGAGTCCCCAGACTCTTTGGGCAACAGCAAAATGGTTTAAGTGTCATAGGAATGCCCCAGCTGGGATGTATTATCCAGCAAGGACCAAGTGAAACCTCAAGTCACAGACTCCCACTCAAATACTTTAGAGCTCCAACAGTCCCCTTAGGGACAGGACAATGTCACCTTGCTGGGAAAGGCTGGAAGGACCACCTTTCTTCACAGTGCAAGCAGCAGCCACTCTTAAAGCCTTGATATGTTGCTGAGTCTAGAAATAAGAGAGTCAGCTTGTCTTCTGCTCTGCCCATTTCTGTGCAGAGTTTGAGAGATTTATTCTGTGCAATAATGAGCACAACCACAGCCCTTACTTCTTTCTTGGCAGCTTTATTAAAACATTGCATTGCTCAATTAGATTAAACCATTTCACGTCAGGATTTACACCAACCCTAAAATTAGTAATTTTGCTATGTATGACTTTTTCTTTTCTAAGCTTGGGGAAAATGCTCCCTAACCTCTAAACAAAACTGCAGTTAAGAGCTGAGTGCTCACAGCCTCTGAAAAACAGAAGCTTAGCATCCCCAAGAGATGGCTCTATCTATAGGTCTGGAAAAGCCATGTCATAACAGATTTATTGCTGAAAAGATTATCTGACAAACGCTGACTGCTTCTCAACTTGGCTGTCTAACTGAGCCCTGCTCTCTGCTTGTTCCTGCCTACCTCCACTACAGAGAGCAGAAAGAGCAGGACAATACCACAGCCCCCACTCTACATTCTTGCATCAATGGTGTCTATCCCTAGCCACAGAAATCCAAATCCAACCAAGTTTTTGGCCTCAGAACGATCATGGAATTCTTGGCTAGACAAACTCAAGCCTAGTTCCTGAGGCAAGTGCTAATGGGACATTCCAGGTGCCTGAAAGTCAAGCACTGCCAGCTGGCACTTGGCTCTTCTCTGCATCAAAGGGACCAGCAAAGTGAAACACTAATGGCCAAGGCAAAGACAACTTGTTATTGGAAGCTGTTGGATTATTCCACTGCCAGTCCCTTGAGTTCCCATGTGATTATTTTACAAGCTAAAACACCCAGGCAGCAATAATTCTCTGAAAACAAACAGAGAGGCCTAGACTCAGCATGAGGAAATGACTTGTTTTCTTAGGCAGTTTTTAAAGGTACAGATCACCTCTTGCAGGGATCTTCTCTCCACCCCCCTCATTGTGCACAACTCCCTGCAGTTCAGAAGCTCAAGCTGTACTTGTGGATATCTCTGCTCAAGACATTTCAGGGTACTTTATACTGGCAAGACTTTGCTCCTGCCACAAATGTAGAAACAAAACTTTGAAGTCACAGTTGAAAAACACAGTTTAAAGACACACCTAAAGTTTTACTGAGCAAAGAAACTTCCAATAAGGAAAGGAATAACCACAAATATTAGTTAGCTATTAACTTATTCAGAAGACAAAGGAACCTTGTTTGTGTGTGGAGTATCCTCCAGACCAAGAAACCTAATGAGATCATGTTGGTCCATTCTCATTGCAGAATTCACACAAATGAGGCTGAAGCACTTCTCACCATTAGTTTTTTCTAAATTGCAAAGCAATGGGTAATTATTTAGCTTACTTTCAGAAATACCATGGCACCTATATCCAACTCCTTCCCTCAGTGCACCGATTAAATAGCTGAGAGTTGTTTGCATCAGGTGTTTTATCATTTCAGCAATGCCATACTCACAGCACACAGAGAGGTAGAACAGCTGGAGGATCACAGAAGGAAATCACAGCTCCTGGTGACCAATTCCCTCAGGTTCCAACGCTGCAGGAGGTGCAGTGCCTCTCCCAGAAGTGCATTCCTGAGGAAAGCAGGCAAAAACAAACCACAGATTTCAATAAAACAGCCTAAACCCCTACAAGGCATTTTGTAATCCTACAGCATTCAGGCTCAGAGCAGGATGTGTACCTGCCTTCCTGTCTGCACATCTAAGGTAGAATCAGCAACATTAAAGCATCTTCTGGGAGGGTCAGTGGATCATGACAAAACCTCTTCTGCAGCACAGAATCACAGGGGGCCTGGCACGTGGCCAGGGGCTCCTCCAGCAGTGTGCTAGGACAGCAGGCACACAAAGCCCATCCCAAGGTTCTTGCCTAGCACAGGAGGCAAATCAAGACTCTGGGAAGCCAGACCTAGATTTGAGGACTTGCAAATCCCCCTCTTCTCTTCTTATCCCTAACCCAAATTACAGCCCCCCGCTCCATTTCAGCCTCATTTATAGCCTTGTGAGGAATGAGGCACAGCTGGGGCAGAGCCTGTGCTCTCACAGCTGCCTCCACCCAAAACAGCTGCACCTGAAGGATCTCTCCAGCAGCACAAAGAGCCATCATTCACTGCAGCCCCAGCAGGGAGGTGCCAAGAGATAAGGGGAGATTGATAAAGAGAGTACCCACCACAACCATGGCACAGGGAACCTAGGACAACTTTGGGTGGCTTGTTTTGTTTGAGCCTCTACTCCACAGCTGTAGAACAGCTGGCAGCAGTCTAGGGCCTGAGGAAATGGCTGGAGCTGTGGCAGGGCAGGCTCAGGCTGGATCTCAGGGAAAGATTCTTCCCCCAGAGGGTGCTGGCACTGCCCAGGCTCCCCAGGGAATGGGCACAGCCCCAAGGGCTGGATTCCATGATACTTGTGGGTCCCTTCCAGCTCAGGATATTCTGTGATTCTGTGGTTCCTTGACATAAAAGCTTTGTGAAGACAACACAAAGATCAGTGCTCAGCACCCAAATTCCATCATATAAAAAAAAGAATTCTGCCTTTCAGATCTACTCTGTTCTTGACAACAGCCTCCCATCTTAAGTTTTTCATAGCTTGGATTCCAAGAAGAGCTCATGAAGAGCAACCCTTGGGATTACACTGAGCTATGATATTAACTTTTATTTATTAGATTCCCAATGAGCAGCCCTACTGCAAGTTTCTTTTTATAGCTGTTCAAATTAAACATGTATGACCTGTCATCCTGTAGTCTGTCTCAGTGTTATCTCTTTGCTGAGAAACACAATGGAAAACAACAACATTCTGTCTTCCACAGCCAAATAATTTTTAATCACCTTAGCCACAGAACCCCTATTGGTAATCTCTCCTCTGGGCCCTCCTTGTTCTTAAAGCAGAGGCTGATAGAGAATTCAATTAATGTGTCCCCTAAGGATAACACATTCAATCACACTAAGTGAGGAAAAGCTCAGATGGAAAAGAAACTCTAGCTCCAAACTTCCAGTGGAAAGTCTGTGTCCCACTGGGCAGGATACCATTAGTCTCATGAAGTAAGGAAGGGATTTGGGTTTCTGCCTCGGCAACAAAAAGCTTTGTTGCTGCTGAATTTTCCCCCTTTTAGGATGATCTGCCATCTTAATCCAGGGAAGCCCAAAGGAGTTCTCGGGGTCAGACCTCCAGAAGATCAGTGTTGGGTCTGCTGCGCTGATTCAGTTTTCCCCATCTGTTGAAGAATATGTAAATCCTATATGCCACCACTTCCACTGCTCAGGTGCCTAAACCGTGATCCAGTTAGCAGAGAAAAAAGCATGGATTAAATCCCAGCCCTTTCTGAAGGGCAGAATTCTCAATGGAAAGCTGTGTTCTGTCCAAGGCCCTGCCTAGCTGGAAGTTCCTGCTGTAGTATTTATCACTAAGTCACAGAATAGCCTGAGTTGGGGGAGACCCACAGGGATCATTGAATCCAACTTCTGGCCCTGTACAAGGCACCCCACAATCCCACCCCATGCCTGAGAGTGTTGTCCAAATGCTCCTTGGGCTCTGGCATGCTTGGGACCATAACTACTGCCTGACTATCAGGCCAGAACACTACCTGGGGAAAGAACCTTTTCCTAATATCCTACCTAAACCTGCCTTGATACAGCTCCAGCCACTTAGCTCAGCTTCCCCACATCATCTTCAAACAGAATACTGTGTCCCAGTCACACAGACCTTGAAGAAAACCAACCATTGTCTTGCTCAAGCAGGGTAAAGCATGAAGAATTTCAAGCTCCTCATGCATGGTCAAAAATTGTCCAAATCAACTCAAGCACAGAACAAACCTGCAGCTTTTAGTGGATTTGCTCTCCATGTCACACATATCATGGGTTGGAACTAGATGATCTTTAAGGTTCCTTCCAGCCCAAACCATTCCATGATTCTATGATCAACTTCTTTCCATTGGACCTGAAGGCATTCTGCAACTCCAGAGGACTTAAGCTTCAGAAACATACATTTAAAATAAATTTTCCACACATCCTGTCGCACCAACCTAAAATATGCAGGCACTGGGTAGAAACCCAGCTTCCCAAACCATCCTGTTGTCAGCAGCTTCAATGCTGCATAAACATACCCAGGGACAACTGCTGAGTCACAGCAGCAGCACGAGATTATCCAAGGTTTGAAAAATCTGGATTTCAGAACAGAAACCGCTGTGTTGCTGTCAGTTAGCAGAGAAACAAAACACAGCATTGAGGGGGGGGGTGGGGAAAAGAAGAAAACAAAGCCAAACTGTTGGCTATGTTGGGTAACTTTTCCAGTCTTCCCAGCTTGTGATAGTGGCAGATGGCCCAGTCTGTAAATTAGCAGTTACCAGATGGGCCCCCTAAGTAGCTTTACTGCAGTAAATTGATTTGTTCGTGGATTTGGTATTAAAATGTCCTTCACTGTCTGGGTAGTGTTTGGCCACAAAGCTGCAAATTCCACTTGATTGCAGGGAAGGCCAAAACCCCAAACGTTTCTATTGGGAAGCTGTTTCCTCGAGTTTACTGGCGAGTCCCAGTCCCCAGTCAGGTAGGTGTACTGGAGGTACTTGGCTCTGCCAGAAGGACCAGAGCAGACTCAGGATTTGCATGATCCTTGTGGGTCACTTCAAACTCAGGATATTCTATGACTCTATCATTTAATTCTGGACATGGGTGACAAATACAGACAAATTTGCAATGAGGAGCTGGGAAAGGACACCGTGACCTAGGGAAATATCTATTGGGTTGACACAACTATTTCAGGACACAATTCTCACTGTGGCTGAAAACGGGGAAGGAATACAGCTTATCAGATACTTCAATGCCATCCATCTGTCTCTCTCCTTCTTCCCTCCATACCCTTTGCCTCTCCTCCAACCATGTTCACAGAATCACAGATTTCCTCTGGAAATCATCCAGTCCAACCCCCTGGGTCACCTAGAGTGCATCCAGGTGGGTTGGGGATCCCTCCAGAGAGGGAGACTCCATTCCCTCTCTGGGCAGCTGTTCCAGTGCTCTATCACCCTCAATGAACAGAAGTTCTTCCTCATGTTGAGGTGGAACTTCTTGTGGTTTAGTTTATGGCCATTGCTCCTCGTCCTGCCACTGGGCACCACTGAGAAGAGTCTGTCACCACCCTCTTGGCAACCACCTTGGTGAGATTTGTATGGGTTGATGAGATCTACTCCCAGTCTTCTGTTCTCCAGACTAAAGAGGCCCAGCTCACACAGTTTCTCCTCATCAGAGAGGTGCTCCAGCCCCCCTCATCATCTTTGTGGCTCTGCTGAGCCCTCTCCAGTAGCTCCTTCCCTTTCCTGAACTGTAGAGACCAGAGCTGAATGCTCTGAATAGTCTCAGTGTGGCCCCAGCAATTCTGTTGATGAGCCACATTCCCAGATTTTGGCCCTTCTCTGTCTCTTTTGCTGCTCAGCTGTGCAGCGAGCTCCCTGTAGCAGTGTGTGCTGCTCTTTTATCCAGGGTTGGAACTTGGGGTGCTGAAAGTCACTTTTTGTACTACTACCCAGGATCTCTACTCCTGTTTCAATATCTCAAAAAGGATGGAATTACTGGAAAGAAAAGAAGGTCAATATGTGATTTTCCTCCATTTCATGGCACAGGCTGATAGCAAACATTCTCTAGCTTTGGTTGTTATCCTTCCAGACCTCTGCTCAAGTGAGAGGAAATTGTCTCAGCAGTAGTGAGCCGGAAGCTAGAGATTGACATTTATTGAAGTGAAATACTCCACATTCCTTAGATTTCTTAATAAACCCACAAGTGTTTCCATCTTCCTAGAGCTTCTTTGGCATGTCCTGGCATGATATCCTGTAGGACTCAGTCCCAAAAGCCTTTGCATACATTTTAGTTCGTGTCAAAGGCTGGCAAACCATGACTTAATCCTCCCAGTGGTCCTCTGCAGCTGCGAGGGCTATAAAGTCACCAGGGAAGAGTGACAAACAAAAAGAAATTACTCAAATTTCTGCAAGAGTACTGTCACATGATGGTTTATAGTTCTAATATCTGGATATTAGATATATAGCTGGCAAAACAAACCAAACAGTTTTCCTCTTCAAGCCTGGAGAATTAAATCATTTGTCAGCCTGAAAGCTCATATTTCCTCAAGTTATGCTGCTGACAACAAACAAATGGGCAATGGAGCATTGTTCCATCTCCCTTTTTACCTCCATGTCCATTTCTCCTGTTCTTCCAAAAGAACTCCAAGTTAGATCTCCTACCACATGTATAAGTACCTACTATTACTCCTAATTATTATTAGACTCAGACATCTTCACATGCCCACTTGGTCCTTAATCCAACACTAAATGATCAAAACCCAATCCAGAAAATGGAAAGGGCACCAATGGCTGGACATCAATGGCTGTGATTGAGATACTTTCTGGCTTAGTACTTGGTGAATGTATCCAGCACTGAGATTTGGATAGCATCCAAACCCAAACTGCTGTGCTACAAGCCATTGCTGCTGAATTTTGTGTTTTTCTGCTGGAAAAGAGGCAACAAGGCCATTTCTAAAAAAAGTTTTTACAGGGGAATGTGTGATTTAAAGAGCTCTGCGCTCCAGCTGATGAGACTGCTCAAATTCAGTGGGCTGTAACTATTACACACAAGCTAACACACAAGTGTTATTCTCCAAAAGAGCCTGGTTTACAAGCATATCAGTCTGAGGAAACCATGGGGTCCAAAGCCTGCTGCATTGAGAGCTGGAGGAAGTAAACCCTGGGCTCAAGGGAGTGCTGGGAATGACAAGCAGCTCTCTTCCCTCTTCTCCTTCAGCACTTCACCCAGTGTCTGGATATCTGGCACGTCACATTTTCCCCAGAGAACTACTTGTTTTCTTTACTATCCCACCAAGCAGCATCCTACCCTGAGAACCAAGACAGATATTCCTACTGGAATGCAAAACAATCTGGCATTTTTCAGGATAAGGTTTATTGTTGGAG